TTTACTGGTTATGGCTTTCCAATAGAACCTGTCGAATATCCTCTCGGTTTTATTCACTTGTGAACCAATGATAATTTTCAGTATGGATTTGTGGAGATTTTCGAGTTTCATTGAACTCATGAATCGATCAATGTTAGACCAGTATTGGAAACCTGGAAACTTCCCATACTGAAAATTGCTTTAATGTTCTATACTACTCATAAGTAATCGCTGTTTATTGCATATATTCTTTTAACTCTTGTTTTATGATGTAATCTTAAGCCTTTTCCCTGAAAATTCGTTTGTTTGACTACTTCACACTTAAACGAATCAAACTGGTTATATTCCTCGGGTGTCTGTGCTTTATATCAAGTGTTTTCGATTGGTTTCTTTGTCTTGGATGTCAGTTCACAATTTATTCTCATGTTTGTTAAATGTGAAACGGCATATACACTTTAGTAAATGACAATGAGTTTAAATTTATTCAAACTCCAATGTGTATATTTGTAATGGCAAAAATATCGAATTATTATCTACATAATCAGTTAACGTTGATGGATAAATACATTTTAACTGAAGTTTCCACCTCATAAACACAAGTGAACTGTTTAAGATTAATCTATTCTCAAACTGAAAATGATCAATCTACATCAAGCAAGTATGAATTAAATCTCAGTTACATAATAGTGAAAATTCAAACCTTTCCTACCTCTTGTTTATATTTAATGAGACTAAGATGAATTTAATACATTTATGAATATTATTCAGTAACTTAAATAAAAATATTAATACAGACAACGTGCATTTTATGTTTAATGATAGAAAGTCAGGTCATTTTACAAACAATATCGTATTACTAGTATAGGGTTGTGGAGATTGTTGAGTTTGGATTGATCAATGTTAGGCCAGCACCGAAAGGCCGTTTTGTTCTAGTATGGAACTCCTCAGCAGTGTGCATGCACAACCCCTCACATGGGACGCGACTTAGAACCTTCGGTTTCGCGTGTGAACGCTTAACCCCGAGACCACTGAGCTTGCATCTAACAATGTTAATGTCTAACTTCAATCAATCCACGATATTGCACGAACGTCCACCATTGTCTTCAGTGAGTAACTGCTTCACAGTCGACACTGTTGTACTGTATTAGATGCTCCTTCTATTTTAGCTGAATTCATTCAGAGGTAGTTATTTCAAACATGAAGTGAACGCTTATAGACTCCTTAATTTTATTACCATAAATAAGCGGAAACTACGACTTCATTTCGGTTAAGGACATTCAATGTCTTGATCCTGTTTAAACTGAGAACAAATAGATGACACAGAGTAGGTGTTACGTCCTAGTGCCCGTTAAATATCCCATGACAAAAGTTGCTAACCAGAATACCGAATTTTTTTATCTTCAATAACTGTATCGTAGACTAACTAAGTAATTTGTTGTATAACATTGATATGACGGGATGATAATGTAAATTATATCTTTAACTCATTGTGACCTTTAGTTCAACACCACTTCTGTGTTTTTACTAAGCATGATGATTTCTTAGTGTAATATTTGTTTTATTTTCAGTATGATATTTATTCGAGATAAGATATTAACGTGAACTATATTCACCATGATATGAAGCGGGCGAATTTGTTGTAAGTGACTTTTACTGAATTAATAATCAAATGGGTGTATAAATAGATATATAAATGAGAATATTTTCGATTAGGGTTTTAATCGAGTTTTCTTGATGAATAAGTCTCCAATTGTACCTAGTCTTTTATGTTCTTACATAGCGTCGTGGGGACCGTTGGGGTTCCTCGTTTCCGATTACAAGTAATAAGCGACAAGGATATGACAAACATTTAACCATTTTAAGTGCAACTTAAATAAATATTTGATGGTAAATTATCTTATTCAATGAGCAAGTTTATTATTTTGTAAATAATATTTTTTCTACTTGTTATTAGTTATTAAAAGACCATCGGTAGCGAATTCACAAACTAAGTCTGATGTATACATTAACAAGCCATATTTATAATCAATAAAGAAATCAATGCTTTCTGAAAGATCCCAGCGTTCTTATCTTATTAGAGTCACATTGATATCTACTGCTAATACCACCACTACTAGTAACTTATTTGAGTAGCAGCTGATCTTCTGTGATGAAAATTCAGATGTTAACAAACTACATAGCAGTATTAATCAATCTCACATAGGTTTATCATTGGTAGTGATCTGATTCTATCATTCAGTTTGATTTGTAATAACACAAAGTAAACATTACTTATTCAGTTAATAGATATTACATCAACTCCGCCTGAAGCTCTTATAGAATTTAAATTATTTCCATGTGCTAAATCACTAACTGATCTCATCCAGATCACCAATGAGATTCTTGAAGTACTGGACAACAGTTTCGTTCTCATATGGGACTACTTCGTAGTGTGCATCCACGAGCTCGCCACAGGGAATCAAACACAGGACCTTCTGTCTCGCATGTGAAGTTTTAGACTTTAGACCACGAAGCTGGTATCCAACTTTGAGAATTTCTAAATTCGGTCGATCCACGATATCTTGCCGTAGTGGCTAGCAACGAAGAAACTGGTCGAGAAATATGGTAAGCCAGAGAGACCGGTCAAGGGCAAAGAAGGCAAGCACATCGCTGAAATTCAAGGACAGAGGAACAGATGGGTAGAATACTTCGAGGACCTCCTGAATAGACCAGCTCTATTGAATCCATAGGATATAGAAGCAGCACACACATACCTTCCTATAGATGTCACTCCATCAACAAAATAATCAGGATGACCATCAGACAAATCAAGAGCTGGAAAGCAACAGGATCTGATAATATCCCAGTTGAAACACTGAAGTTAGACATAGACGTAACTGAAAGTATGCTACACGTTTTGGGAGGAAGATCAGGTGCCTATGGACTGGAAAGGAAGACACCTCATTAAGAAAGTAAAGAAAGGAGATTTGGACAAAGGAGGTATCAAAAAGAGTTGCACCCAATGACGCTAGGTCTCTAGCGTGAACCTTTGATCTCTAGGTCACTGAGTCGAGATCCGATGGTGTACATGTATAAACTTACTGGATTTTCTCGACTAACTTTCACTGGTTGTGATAGATAATCGCCTCACACCAGACATGGTTGAGCTCCATTAATCACAGTTTCACACTATAACTACCTGAGTTAAATCCCATACCAGAACGAAACACCTGTTCAATACTTCCTGGTTTTCAATAGTGCTCTAACTAAAGGTCGGTTCGTGGTTTAATACATGAAAATTGAACAATATCCATTTATTTTACAAAATGTTTTGATTTTTCTTCAAACCTGATCATCACCTCAACACTCTGATACAAGATATACGATAAGTATTCTAGTTTTATTATAATAAACAATACAACACAGACAACACCAACCCAATCACACTTGCTGAAGAAGCTCTGGAAGAGGTGGAAACTTTCAAGTACCTACCTCGGCAGCATCATCGATGAACAGAGAGGATGTGATGCAGGCTTAAGGACAAGAATTGGCAAAGCAAGGACAGCATTCTTAATTGAAGAACATATGGAAATAAAAAAACTGTCATCCAACATTAAAGTCGGTATCTTTAATACGAACTTCAAGACAGTTCTACTGTATAGAGCTAAAACTTCAAGAACTACTACAAGCATAGTCAAAGATGTACAGGTATCTATAAACAATCATCAACTCAGGATACTCTAGATCTGCTGGCCGGATACCACCAGCAACAACCTACTACGGCAGAGAACAAATCAGCTTCCAGATCGAAAGGAAATCATGAAAACACGCCGGAATTAGACAGAATATACATTGTGGAAATCATTAAACTGCATCAGCAGGCATAGGCTAACTTAGAATACTGAAGGGGAACAGAAAAGAGGAAGACAAGAGAGCACATTGAGTCCAGAATCGGAAGAAAACATGAAAAGGTGAATAGCAACTGGAAAAGATTGCTCAGGACAGAGTTCGATGGAAAATGCTGATCAACGATCTATGCTTCTTCACGAGGTGTAACAGGCGTAAATAAGATATTACAGCAAATTGAATGGATAAAAAAGCCCATACAAAATCAATAGAAAAATATCTTCGTTTAATTATTTTTGGAAATCACTTCACAGTTATGCAGAAGCGTACATTCATAAAAACACAAATAATAATAATAATAATAATAATAATAATAATTTGTAATCATAATAGCCTGTATAAGCTCTATTTTCAATGAGAAAATTAAGAAAACTCTGAAGAACATAGAAACGGAAAGAAAAGAAAAAAAAGTATCTGAGAATCTTTGCTTCATAGTCATTTTGGTTTCTTTTTAAACAAAATACAGAACACATACGGAATAAAAAAAAAAGAGCAAGGGGAGACAGTGGTGGAGGCGATCAAATAAACACAGAAATAATAATCTTGATTACATTCACATGTCATATCATCACAAGTGTATCTTTTTTAAAAAAAATAGTACATTGAATAGCCAACTAACTAGGTAACTAGCTAAGCTTACATCACATATCTGTATTATAATAGATTGTCCAGAAAAAAATCATATTCTATCAAAATAAAAAGAATTACTAACTACTATTCGCTAATTTTATTCAGTAGTGTATAATTTACACATAAATATTGTAATATTTTGTTTCTTTTTCTTGGTTGTTTATTTAAAGATATAACCAAAAGTAGAAATCTGATATTACAAATAAGCACATCTGTCATATAAATATCAGAAAGGGTAAATATTAACGTTGAGAAACATTGATATATATATATATATATATATATATATATATATATGAAAACAACAAAGATTGATTATCCTATCGATTAATGATGATTAGATGTTCGGAGAGTAGAAGCAGCAGTAATGGTAATCAGAATAATTGATTATTACTGTTTATGCAGGAATTGAACAGAATTTTATTTTGACGAATATATATATATAGGGAGGAAATAAGTAGCATATATGTATATGTAATGCACATCTTGTGAAGTTGGATTCATCTCTAAATATCGGATGACTATAATAAAAAAAGTCATTATATAATGATATTACATTTCAAAATAAGATAAGCATTTATGAAAACTTGCTTATAATGATATGTGAATTATTATTATTATTATATAGAGAAAGTCTAAATTGGTTAGGGATTATCAAACCAAGCAAATCAAATTTAGTTGATTTTAATCTCAATGATTTTCATTATGAATAGATATCAGATGTGATATCATAGGAAGCTGAACAAAAACATAACTAGGTAGCTCTACTTTGTCTCAGTTTTTAAATTCAAAATAATGTGTATTAAAAATTCTATCGAGGATTCGAACTGAGGATTATGAGTGAGCATTCAGTTAAACCATAAATTGATTGAATTTAGAAGTATACATCATTTGAATTTTAACTACATGGTTTCAAGCATTTACAGAGAAGTTTAGAAGTCGTTAATGCTCACTGGTTAAAAATCCTATGCAGAGACAAAACAGTAGTCAAATGCTTCACGGTTTTGAATGGTATCTCGACTAAGATCACTACTACATTATGAATGTCACTTTGAAATGAAACTAAAGTAGTTTATTGGTAATTTATAGTTGATACACTGATGTTGAATACACGTTGCTTATGGATTAGACCCCGAGGTCAAAGGCTCAGGGTGTGGCCCCCTAAAAAAATCACCTGATTCGGTTCGGACACCCGGGCAGTATCACAGCTCACACACAAATCAATGATAACTACCATTGACCTGATTGTTATTGCGTGGTGTAAATGTATTTGGCGCCCCCTTGTACCCATGTTTACATGTTCAAATAAATAAATAAAACACACAAATTATGATTTTTAGGGGTCAAACAATTTAAATATTTGTTTTAATAATATATGCAACAGATATCTAAACAGAATGATACAAACAGGATTTAATTAATAAATGTAGTTTCATACTAGTAACAATCAGATTTAAGTAGTATAAGCGATATCAACGTTCATGTTTGGCGTAAAATACTGCGTAAATGTAACATAGGTAAGTTATTAGAGTGATTGATATTTATCGGTTTAGATTATTATATTATGTATTTCGAATCTTAGGTTACTATTTTCCTTGACACGATTTAAAGGTTAGTATAAGGATGAATCACAAAAATTTGGGAGTGGCCAGTTCATGAAATCACTGACTTTTTGTCTGAACAGCATTGCAAGGTATATATTTATGGGTTTAAGGGTTCATGAGTACTGACCAATGTCATGTTCGCATAATCCTTAGTACTGATGGGATTTAATCAGTCAAACTGCAATGTGGCCACTAGTTCGTGTGACGTAACATTGTGTGCACTATGTTTTACTGCTAGGTTGTTAGAGATAGTCAACGGGAGACCTTGCTCGACAAATGTTGTGTGGTGGTTGTCTCTCGTCAAATATCCATACCTATAAACGTGAGGGAACAGGTGCTCCTTTAGGGATTCAAGTATACATCATCCAGCATCATAGTTTGAGATATTAACAATGAGCTATTCGGTTTGTAACTATCCTCCACGACTGACATTTTTATAATAACTTATCAGTATGACGGTTATTCAAAAGTTTTTCATCTTTTTTTACATCGCTCATCATTATTCAGTGTAATTTACAATTATTTTAACAAAATGATAATAGATTAAAAATTTTTTTTACATCAATGACCTAATTAAACTGACATTTATTGAATACCAAGCGGCACTGGACAGCATGTTTCATCCTAGTATAACACTCTTCAACGATGTGCACACATGCCCTTACCCAATCATGAAGTATCGGACTAACGATCAATAAGTATACTACTTCCAAATTAAATCACAGTAGTTTTTTTTTATTTCAAAGATCGATAAATTCTACTTTCTATTAATGAGAGATTCGCACAGAATTCGATTCAGAAGAATTACCGGAAGTGTTTGAATAGGATTATTATTATTATTGTTATTATTACTAAAAACTCATATGACTATTAACTTTAATACATTGATTTATTTTATGATATAAAGTTTATCGAATTTACATAGCGAACTAAAAGTAATTATTTGTTTATCTTTATATATGTATATAAGTAGTATGTACTATAATTACAGTAATACTCTTGAACATACACGCAAAACTACATACGAAACAATAATTTATTTAGTTCTTTTTTTAAAAATAGATTCGGAAGAGAAAGAGGATGAATCAAGAGAAATTTAGTAACACGAATATATTAATCGTGCACAGGTTAATCAAACCAGTAGACTGATAAAGAATAAAACAAAGTACGTTTTATTTTCAATGCAACATTAAGTTTTCTTTCTTAATAGTGTCACATGTTTTTAGGTCGAGTGTTTTTATTTCTCTTAGATATTGAAATACTTAACCATCATTGTAGAACGTATTATTTTCTTTGAATAAAATAATACTGAACACGTAAACCATTTTATGCCGGTTCAGTAGTCTAAGGAAGTTAAGCTTTTTCCTTAAGACTCGTTCTCTGGTGTGATCATGGACGTGGATCATTGATAAGTCCAACATAAGGAAGAAACAGATATCCATTACCTCCTATCTTTCAACAGAGACTTAACTAAAATTAGCTAGATATGATAACTTTAAAATTTAACAGTCTTTATAAATTCTTATACTGCAAAATAACGACAAGATATTGACGTTTCGTTTCCACTAAAGATAAACTCATTCTTACTTCTGAAGATAATAATAACAATGCCGAAGAGCAAAGTTAGGGAATGAATAGCTGTCTAGCAATAATGTATTTCGAATTATGAGATTAAATGATCCGAGTTAAAACCTTACGGGTATCAGTGATGTGATGATAAGCAAGTATTAAGCCTAACAATCAGATATCTTAATCAATTGACGAATGAGTGACCGATATCCATCTAAAAGAGTGACTATCAAAACGATGACCACCAAAAAGTCGCATATTAATGAAGGTGAACTTCAAAATGGGGAATAACATTTTTAATGATGCGCAATCTGTTCGATTCCCTATCTGTCCCTATACCCCAGGACAAATAAAAAAAGTTGTTTTCTAAACGTCTACTGAAGAATCTACCATTAATAAATACTGAAACGTTTCAAATTCGATAATAAATTATTTCTTTTATTACCCTAATCATGTTATCTTGTACATCTATTTCGAATAGTTAGGGGATAGTCCATTTAGAGGAATGCTTTGAAAATGTTTCAGTAATGTTTGGTGAATTTCTCTTTTTGAATAAGTTTTAAAAGCTAAAAACACATCTTTACTTTAAAACTAAAAATGAATGTACTATTCCATGTAAATAGTCTAATGTCGATCTGTTCTCGTCATCTTCTATGACCAGTTTGATATATACTACTAACTCTTTATAATTTCTTTTTAAGTGCTATTGCTAGATTCCTCCAAAAAACTGTTTGATTTTCAATCGATTCAAACTTTTTCTCAGAGAATCGATAAATTCCCATCTGGTTTTGATAAGCTGCACCAGTAAGTTAGTTAAAGCCTTTGAGAAAACAATATACCGAATTATTTATGAGAATAACTAGCCATAATCGGAATAGCCCAGTGGTAATGGTGAAAATTATGAAGTTAGATGACTTAGGTTCGAATCCTGTGGAAAGTATCCACTTCCTCAAGACTACAGGTACACCATACTGACAAGAGTCAACTAGCACAGGAATATGGCTAAATAGGATTCGGTGTCGATTACCTCCAAAAATATTTAACATCTTAACACGGTGTCAATGTCAGCACATTCAGACCAGTGTTCACATTGAAACTAAATTGAATGAAGTTTATCAGTACTAAAAGATTAGACACATATGGTCATTGGTCTGTTCTCAGTGATAAAATCAATTGTAGACAATATATCTTATCTATGGGACTAACGAAAAGAGAGGTGTTTTAAGAAAGTTTGAAAGAAAAAAGAAAACATTGAACTATTACTTCTACTTACTGTAATATGTTTTATCTGACTATATCTGGTTTCGATACCTAAAAGAAAGCATCAATATTCAAGTGATTCGAAGATAGATATTAGGTTTAGTGATATGGTGAGTAATAACTTAATGAATCAGAATGCAAATGACATATGGAATTAGCTTTTTCTCCAATTATGTGTGACATTTATTCATCAAATCTTAAGAAGGATTACAGATGCTTAGTTGCATAGCATGGGAAATATGTGCTCATATAGTAAGTGGTTGAATTATTACTGTTAGACACAACTCAGTTCAAATTATACAAATCTGACTGTTAACCTAACTATAAGATATATGAAATGTGATGTATTCATATATTCTTAACGCTGGTTTTCGCATCTATTTTCTTTTGTTCAGGTTTCCGTGTAGGTTTAGTCTGAGGTCAATAGAAGCGGCTAAGAATTCGGATCGAGCGTTTATTTAGTAGAGTAAAATTCTAATAAATAAACGTTGAGATTACTCTATGTAATGACTACACGAAGTGTAGATATTATGAGTTGTTAATACACGGTAATTTTTGAGGGAGTATGTAGTAAATTTAATGACTTCTTCGATTAAATTCATCATCATGTCATGTTCAATACAGTTAAGAACGACGTAACGCTTGCCATACATCGAATATCAGATGACTCCAGTATATAAATAATCAAGAAGTTTCTGAGATGCAAAATCAATAAATGACAAAATCTTTCTTGAAATAGTAATGATTTAGTGGCTAAGGTAATCAAGTTCCAGCCACGAAGTCCCGATCGGTTTAATTCAGTTTGGTCAATTGGGTAGTATCATAACAATGTGTCTAATAACCAAATACCTATTGAATAAACTACTTAGAATGAAATCGATAGTTAAGGTATAACCCATAATGATCAACATTCTAGACATAGAACGTCTATATTGATTATTACAACTTACTTCATCTTGACGAATAATTGGAATTTGTGGTGATTCTGAGAGATAAGGTGACCAATCATATGAGGAATTGTAATGAAAAGCATTTCTATTCTGAAATTAGAATTATTATTATTTTTCGTTAAAAAAAAGCATAAATTAAGGAAACTATGATCAAGTATAAGTAGTATTGAATGAAGTTTAGAAAAAAAACTGGCAACTAATTGTTACACTCTTATTAAATACAAATAATTGGAAATATCAAAGTTAATTATTTAGTCAGATGAATACATTAACATGCCTTCCTCATATGATAATTCTAATTAGATCAAACTGTTTAATTTGTACAAATTTGTGCAGTGTAATTCACTTGTAAATTGAGATGATGGTAATAAATTCTACTTTCAATTTCATCAATTTTAGCATAGATTTATGAAGCAAAAAATAATCAATAGATTTCCATTAAGTTAAATGTAACGTAGAACCTGATACGTGTATAGATCAGTTTAAGTTGCCATACTCTTTTCCATTAGCATAATGAGATGACATTGTTAGGGAAAAATTCAGAGGAATTTAGTAATTTCAGATAAACAAAAAGACAAAAAGTGAATGCACCTGTTGCTAAGGCAAACGATTTTGAGCCATATCAATCAAATTCGTTAAATATTGGTTACGATAATCATGTAAACTTTCAAGAAAACTATTACATAACAAGGTGTAAAAATGAGATTAAAACATTTCGCATAAACAGATTTCCAATTTTGGCTATAAATGATTTAAAGAAAATAATACTTTGAAAATCTATATTATGTCAAGAAATTAATATTAGAATGTTAAATTGAGCTTTTCACAAACACACAGTATATGTTCATGATAATGTGTATGCAATCTATGTTTCATAGAACGTAAATACACAATTGAAGAACATATGGAACTCAAAATAACTTTCAACCAATATCAAAGTCAGAATCTTCAATACAAACGTCAAGGCAGTTCTACTGTATGGAGCTGAAACTTAGAAAACTACGACAACTGCCATCAAGAAGGTGCAAGTATTTATAAACAACTGTCTACGCAAGATACTCAAGATTAATTGGCCGGATACCATCAGCAATAGCCTTCTCTGGGAGAGAACAAACCAGCTTCCAGCTGAAGAGGAAGCTGACGATGAAAATTGATAGGACATACATTACGCAAATCATCAAACTGCATCCTAAGGTAAGCCCTGACTTGGAATCCTGAAGGGAAGCGGAAAAGAGGAAAGCCAAAGAACACATTACGTCGGGAAATAAAAGCAGATATGGAAAGGATGAATAACAACTGGAAGGAGTTAGAAAGGATTGCCCAGGACAGGGTTGGATGGCGAATGTTGGTGAGCGGCCTATGCTCCTTCACGAGGAGTAAAAGGCGTAAGTTAAGTAAGCAAGTAAATACACATAAACTCTCCTTGACAGAAAAAATAAAGAATAATAAACATACAGTGTATTTTATTACATAATTCAACAGTTTAAAAAAAGTCGAATGAACTAATTATTATAAAAAAATAATGTCCTTTGCAATCAGATCCGTTTAAATTTAAAAGTGTCAATTGATCCTTAAGATTACTTACATTTATCCAATTAAGTAGTAAGCAAATATTCTACTGGTAAGATTTCAATAATACGCTTATGATTCCTAATATGAAGTTACGTACAAGTGTTAGAGTCTTATTACATTACTTTGAAAATAACGTTTACAATTCTTCATTTATAGAGAAGATAAATAATGACATCAACATGAAGAGATAGAAATGATGACATATGAATGAGATTAACTTTTGAAAATACAAAGAGAAAGCTTGTATAGAATAGACGAGCATTCCGTCTTATTTAAGACTAATCAGCTGAATGTAGTCGGATCTCCGACTTGATGTTTAATCCGGGATTCGAATCAAATGTCATTCTCTTCGAACGATATATCATTATCTACATAGCTACTCAGTTCAGTAGGTTACTCACTTATGCAACGGGTATGAGTTCCAGTTTAAATTAAAATGACCTGGATTATCCCATTGATAATTTTGACTGGAATTTGACACGAACAATACTGGGTTCGAGTAGTAGAGTGGACATTGGATCTGGGATGAAGTGCCAGTCAGTCGAAAAGTCCTAAATATGATGAAACACGCGTCCTGGATTCCACTGGTAGCCACACTCCATCTATTCTATATTCACTTGTATCATAGAGGCTACATCGAAATAGTTCGAACATGATGCACATATACCAAACAAGACTGATCAAATTTCGGTCAAAATATCAAAAACGGGATAATACGAACAACATTATATTGATACAAAGAGGAATGTTATATGCACATTATTCATATTGCATCATCTTATGAAATCTAGATAACTAGTGATTTATTGGGTCTGATGTTGGTCAAAATGAAAGAAACTATTGGATATATTTCTTTTGTATATGGTGTTTCGGATTTTTAGATCTGAATACTTGTTATTTGTGTATTTGAGATTTGAATCTGGCAGACTTCAGTACATACAGTACTCACAATATAAATCACTAAAAGCGATTGATTTATGCTGGGAGTATGGGCTGTTTGAACTAAATGAAAAAGTACCGAGCGGTTTACAGTCTTGATCACACCTTTGCTTCGGTGATCTCTCAATGTTGTGGATTGGATAGAGTAAGGTATTACACTGTTGAACGCTGATTCAATGGTCTAAAGAATAAGAGTTCGTACATGAAACCGAATGTCTTGGGTTCGATTCCTGTGTGTGCGGAGTCGTGAGTACAGCTGAGGGGTCCCGTGCTAGGATGAAATGGATGTCCAGTGCTTCCAGGTTTTCAATGGTGGTCTAATTTAGATCAGTTCATGATTTCAATGAAATCCAATAAGTTCCACAACCCTATACTGAAAATTTTAAGAGTTTTGGACATAGACGAAAATCTGGACTTACTTGACAAAACTAATTTGACTATTACTAATTAATCAGTGACAATATTCTGTCCAATTATTTAGTTATAGTTAATTCAACAAATATAAAATACAATAGTGGACATGAGGTAGATGGTAAGTAGGTCTTATAATTTATTTTGAAAAAGTATTCCCAAGGCTGTTGTTTGAATCTATCTTCGATTCAAACATTTCATTATCTTTGTCTTTAATCAACAATATGAGTATAAATACAAATATTTTAGGGATATAGAGTGACCGGGTGAATAAATCTAAATAGTTTCATCATTCGTTAGTTGAAGAATTATTTCATACTTTGAGTTTCGGATTCGGACCCTGTGCACAAACATACTCTTTATTTTTATTTATCTCTACACATAGATATTGGTACAAAGAGGCACCAAATACATATGCGCCACACAAATCTCATTCGACATGTGTGAGGGCTGTGATACTGCCCGGGTGCCCAAACCGAAGCAGGTGGTTTTCTTAGGGGGCCACACCCCGAGCCTTCGACCTGAGGGTCTGATCCACAAGGCAGTGGAGCATCGTAAGGAGGTGCAGTCCCACGGAAGCAGGTGACCAACAATTGGTTCATACGTCATTTGTTCCCGCAGGATACTGGAGCCCATGTGCACCATTGGTTTGGGATCCGGTTAAAGCGCCGGACATTCGCTTTTCGTCCTCTCATTTTCGTAAACAACAACCCCGCCACGAGAAGGCAGTGAGTAGGACTTCCCTGGCAGAGGCTATATACGAGTGGCCATGTGAGAGCTTGCCCGGACTAATAGTATCACTAGACTTCATGCATATAAAATGTCTCAAAACCAAGGTTATAAAGCCACACTCGAAGAATGGAGTTGAATTATATAAAATTTGTATTTAGCTTTTAAGAAACAGTTGACAACTGACTAACTTTTAATGCTGTCATCCGAAAAGTTAAAATATATTTAATTTAAAATGTTATAAACGAACAAAAGAAAAGGAAATATAAATGATTTTATGAAGATTGGTAGAGCTTCCAATGTTGATATGATATAATTTAGAAAAATATTATGGAGAAAAAGAACAAATGACAAAGGAAGAACATTATATATTTACCCTGGATACATTTCATGGGACAATTAACAGCAGTTATTATAGTTTAAACCCTATGAAAATCAAAGATATAAGTCATTAACAACCCTCCAAAATTGATTGTATAATAAACATAGTATTTTCAAATCGCTAATGAGGTATAGTGATAGTGGTAAATAATTCTTTTAACTACAAATTGATTTAGCCAGTTGTCACCAACATAGAACCTAAAAAATATGTGCGTCAGTTCAAGCCGCCATATTACATCGGAAAAGTTAGATGAAATTATCACAAAGAGTACCAGAATAGTAGAAGTAGTAAACCTATTAGTGGAAGTAGGAAACACTAGGTATAGATAATATAATGTCACACAAGGTCTCCAATAATTGATCCTAGTAATCTGGGGAATTTTAACTAGTTAGCTTGAAACTATCAACAAAGCTCAGTTCAGTAGCAAATGACTTTATGGACTGGTGCAACGTCATGGTTTGATTACTCACCGACCATAATAGCCAATATAAACCATCGAGGTTGGCGGTAAATGATCATATTTAAGATATTTCCCGATTACTCCAGTCGATAAAGATTCAAAACCTTATCAAATGATTTTTCATCTATATCTAATACTTTGCTCCTAACCTTAACAATGATCACTCAATGATCCAAATATATTCAATGTTCCAAAGACATTTAGTATTTCTTACAGGTCATAATTACTCTATGAAGTACATTTCAATTAAGCAAGGTTCATCAGAAAAATGTGTTATTTCAAATACACTAAATAAATACAATTTTGTAATAAATATATACTCACATATCTCATCTTATAATTAAGTCAACAAAATAAAGTTTACATTGATTTGTAGAACAATTAAAAGCACGTGAACTTCTTATCTTTTTCGGTCAATTCCACGTGAGTTAGCAAAGTCAGCGTACACAACATATACGATGTGATTATCTCATATGCAAAGTTAAATTAATTAAAAATCAATGTGAATAATACTTTTAAAAGACTATATTACATATCCATAGAATGTAGATTGTGTGAGATCAATCAGAGAGTGTTGAAAAAGTTGTGACTTTAACGGTCTAATCATTCACATACGTAAACTTATGAATGTTTGAGTTACAGTGACTGGGTGCCTGAAATATAATAATAGAAGTTTATCTGATAAGTTCTATTAAAAAGATTTAATACTGGGGATATGAGAAAGGTGTATCCTAGGTCAATAGGAGTCAAAGTTATCTCATCATTGCCCAAGATCAACTGAAGCTTATCATTGATCAAAGAAAAGAACATTAGTAAGTAGACGAAAAGGTATACTCAAGACAGAGAATTCTGAATCCAGGTGCTGAATCTTTTCTAGTGATATTCATCAAATCGTAAGTCATAATAACATTGATTTCGTATGATTGAAGGTAATTTACAGGAACCTCACTGTAAATCGTATCCAAGATTAATCTGTAATATTGAAAGAACTAACACTTGATGTGAAATTTGAACTAATGGTATAATTAGAAGCATTAATACAAAGCTCAGTTCAGAAGTGACCAATCATGACTTGAATAATTCAGTATTAACATCCCAAACTATGGTATTGGCCAAAAGGGATTCGAATTCCGTAAGGATCATCATTTCTTTTAAGACTGAGGATACAATTTGCTGTCAATTGTTAACTTACAAGATTATCTACAACTACTGTTAAATTAACAATAACAAACTGACAACTAATTTCTATGAGAAAGATGTAGAAATGTACAATTCAATAAGTTGAAAACACGTAAAAGCTGAGAACGTTATACTGTTTCAATTCAAATTTCTACATGTGATAAGAGAAAAAAAACAGTTGAATAGAATAGAAAAACTAATCAAGATATGCGGAAATAGGGAATTATTAAGTAAAACAAATTATAAGCTAATAATTAAAATTCAGCACAATTACTTGAATGAAGAATATTCTTTATCATTAAGTCTCATTAAGTTCTACAATTATATGATTCAAAAAATAATCCACAAAAGTACCCATGAATAAGGTAAATTACATTGTTTAAAATTAGAACATGTAAATTTAGGATTGTTTGTATTATAATATAAAACTGTTAATGTTGAAATGACTCGTATTCGGTATTAATTTGAATGAGTTTATTACCTCCGTCAAGCATAAATTAGAGTAAGCCTTACAAACCATTGGATTCTGACTTAGCGACCTAGAAGTAAAGCGTTCGAGCATGAAACCGAAGGACCTGAGTTCGGTTCCCGCTTGTACATTCATAGATGTGCACTACTAAGGAGTTGCAATCTAGGACGAAACAGCCATCCAATTCATTTAGGTTTTCAATGGTTGTCTTACCCCTTGGTTGGTTAGTGATTTCAATGATATTATTATTACCATCATTGTTATTATTATAATTATTATAACGCTCACAAACATGTTGAGAAATGTATTCAGCACCCATTCCTATGTACTAATTCCTACTTAATATTTACTATTTACACATTACGTAATTCAAGATCAAACATTTATTTTGATTTGTAATTACATTATTATCTTTCTCATCCCATGTTACCTATATTTATTCTGATCATGAATCGTACAATTTCATTTAAGGTATAAACTTATTCAAGTCACTAGTTCATAATAATCATCTCAACATTAACAGTTTAATGTTAATTTACAAACAAACCAAAGTTCCCATGTTATAATTTCCAATGATGCATTTGTCGTAAACCTGGCCACTTTTTGGGATTGTTAATTTTGAGGATAATACAAATGTAGAAGTAGAAGAGGGTTGATTGGAAAGTATATTCTTCGTTTATATAGATCTGTGTTTTTTCTTAATATGATGGGAAGTTTCCAACAATTCAATAAAAGAAAATGAGTTTACCACGTACTGAAAGCTTATTTCATAACAGTATATCATACAATTTCTGGTATATAACTGAATCCTATTCACCTTATTTGATGTTCAATTGAAGAGATATGAAGTGAGGTAGTTTCTAATGTGAGCACTTTGGTTTTATGATATTACAAATAAAAATGTTTTGTCAATAAGATAAACGCGAACAGCTGCATTATTTTAATGTTTTTAATTGTTCTAGGTAATCATTGTCAGCTAAAGGCGGCTCTGGACTTCAGTTTTACAAGGCAGTTGTTGTTAACTATTTTCGAGTTATCATCCTCTCTTCAAACTCACAGATATTACAACTAAATCACCAGTTACACTTAAATTAGCTACACAATATTTAGTATCCAAGCGATGTTAGGCAGTAATCGAATTGTAGCCAAATGATTTTACCCACCATAATTTATAATCATATTGAACTTAATTCGATTTCAAATGTTAAGTATAATCATTACTAAGTGTTAAACAAAGTCTATTGCTTTACATTGAAGCACAAACCTAGTTGGCGAGATGTTAGGATGAATACTTTTGAACAAATGTATTCAAAACTTGTTATATTAAACGGGGTTGGGAAAATGTTCACTTTTGTAAATAATTCTTATAGTGCGTCTAAAATATGAATGTAAATATATATATCTTACTATTGAACTGACCATGTATTACACAGCAACCATGGATATATATCACACCTAACAATACATCTATTCATTTACATATTCCTATCATTTTGTTGAAATCTATCATAATTTGTCAGGCAACGGTAAATTAGGAAGATAAACTAACAGGGTTACAAATAGTAATTATGAAAACGATGACTGACATGAGAAAATATCAACAGATTATCAATAAAATAATAAAAATAACACGATTAGTTAAGAATAATTGTTCAGTTAATACACAATCCACATAATGTTTGCAGAGTAAAGAAAAACTGGGAGTTTAGACATGAATAGGCGTATGATAATTGATTCAGCATATCAGTCAGCTAACATCAAACTCAGAATTTTCAATAAAAACGTCAAGATGGTTATATTGTAGGGAGCTTAAAATTGGAGAACTACCGAGACTATCATCAAAAAGATGAAAGTGTTTATAAACAAATGTCAGAATGAGTACACTAGTTTTGTAGAGATATTTAAATTCTTCATAGTTTACATCATGGACTAATCTTAGATAACAATTGGGAACCAGGGAGTACTGGACAGTTGTTTTGTCCTCGTATGGGACTTCTCAGTAGTCGACACCAACGACCCAATCAAGGACCAAACCCGGGAAATTCGGTCTTGGAGTGAACGCTTGACCCTTAGAACGCTGAGGCAGCACATCCAATCATACAAACGTAGAACTTCAATAACTTGATAATACTGCCCAATTATCTTTGATTACCTGAGGTGGATAACCTTCTCAAACCCGACAAGGTTGAACTACACTAGAACTCCGCGGGAATTACCTGTCGAAGTTAGTAACTAGTGAGCACGTGATTAGTGTTATTATTAGAATAGAAAGTCCAATGCTCAAAAGAAACAATTGTATAAATGCTTCCTGGTCTTCAACAGACGTTTCATTAAGTTCAGTGGTTTGTAATGTAACCTCCATTAACCCATTACACGTATATGAATTTATTCATTATCAGATGTAAATTGTTTCATGCTTAAATTAACAACACAACGTAGTAAGAACAGCGAGGCAACAAAAAAGTTTCTTACATTTAACATATCGATAGGTAAGGGAATAGGTGGATTATGTTTACTAATGACAGAAGATACATTCGATGGATTGTCAGTGGAATCACGAATATGTTCATTCGAAGAGGAATCCAATTCTTTAGCACCGACTGGCCAAGCATCTTCGCCAACTTTTCGCCAACCGCGTAAAAGGCTACTCAGGTGGAAAAACCCAGAAAAAACATCAGTATCAGTAAAATTCATATCGTAATATACAGAAAATAATATTGCGTTAAGCTGTATACATGATAAACCAAATCGAATTTTTTTTAAATTATTTGATAATTGAAGTAGTGATCGAAGTCATGCTTGATTAATTCTTAATTTCGATCGAATTTATAGACCACATTGTAATATGGTCACTATTTCAAGCGAATGGACAACGTGTGTACTGTGTTCTAGTTTTAAGGTAAGAAGTCTACAAGAAATCATGTTCGGCTAAGGTTTTCTTTTAGATGTGACACGTATGTACTACTGTAAAGTCACCGAACAATAGGTAACTTAATGTATAATTGTAATTAAAACACAAACGTCAATAAAACTTATTATCATGGTCTAGGTTTCGACTTAAATATTATTATTATTAGCTTTATTCAATATTATATTTTTGGTACAATATAGAATTCTCAGCGTAAAGTATTTCAACAAGTTTTCGTTTCTTTCTTCTTGGTCGGTCCTGGCGATAAATATTGTGTGATCGCCAGTTAGATGTTAGCAGTTCACTGAATGAACATCTGAATAATGTGCATTCTTTTCGTTGTATATTGTCAGCAACTAAATTGTCTCTTATTGAGTTTTTTGTAACTTTGACAACGAAAGGTTGTATACTTTTCAGAAACGCAGCAGAATAGGTTATGCGATTAATAAACATAACGATACATTAAAACAAACAAAAATAGATAACTTGTTGAAATATCTAGATGGCAGGAACAGGTAGCCCAGATGCTCAAACAGGCCGCCCTTTAGTAGGAGATAACAGGAAGCTCTGAATCAATGTTACGTGCTGGTTGACAATTATTAGCAAGGCGTACCTGCAATTATGAGAGAACTGGTACTCCCTTTATGATTTGAACTAGAACCATCCATCTCTATATATTGATGCTGAGCTCTTAACAAATTTACTTATCATCACCCATTTTAGTTTTTTGCAGGAAATATACATCAAAAGTACTACTATTGAACCATTAATCACAATTTTTTTTATATTCTTCAATAAAAATCACGTTTCCTCTCAACCTACGCAATAAAAATACTCAAATTAAGATAAATAGTTAATTTCTAAATAAAATTGCACTACATTTACAAATTATTTTTTATTGGTAAAAAAAACACTAAATTAACTCGTGCATTATACATTGTACTGAGGTTGAACGAAATCTTTGAAAAAGACTTAATTCAGAAAGGGAAATACGAAAATTGTTTACGGGTAGTACGTACTTCGGGGCCAAGGTAATGAAGTCGATAGGAAAATCTAGATAGGGATTTCATGCTAACTTCTTATACAGTGATACTGATGGTCAGGGTTCAAATCATACACTACAAATTATCAGTTCTCTCAAGGTTGTATATATACCATGCTAATGAATGTGAACTAGCATGAAACACAGATCAAGTAGCGTTGGTTGCAGACTATCTCCAACCACCTAACATTTAAATATCGTGCATCCAATATCAAAACATTTAGGAATAGTGGACACATTGTAGTGTGATCAACTGAATTCAATCGGCAAAAAAAGGCTAAACAAAAACTATATCGATCACAAATCGTTGATTAGAAACAATCACTAATAATAATAATATAAAATGGTTTTATGAATTTTACAAATAAAACGAATAATGATTGAGATTATGAATCGATCACTGTTAGACCACCACTAAAAACCTGGAAGCTCTGGACGCCGTTTCGTCCTAGTAAGGGACTCCCCAGCAGTGCTCGTCCACGATCCCGCACGCGGGATTTGAGGTTTCCAATAGTGGTCTAACATTGATTAATTTATAATCTCAGTCAAAATTCAACAATCTTCACAACTCTACACTGATGAAAATGAATAGCTGATGTTTATCACTGGTGTTATAATCATTCAAACAGTTAACAGTCATCACGTATACTATTTACACATAGTTGATGTGATCAGTTAGCGCATTTAACAGGTATGAATTCATAGACATGGCTTACGGTCACATTATGAGATCTAAAAGCTAATAATACTATCCTATTGTTTATAATGAAGTGGGTGGATTGGGGTTCGACCCTACGAATGAAAGTTTAAATTCCTAACGATTAAGCTATTTATCCATAATAGATGTACTTCCATATCATCCTTTAAAAATGATTCACGAAAAATTCATTCATGAAATACACAGCATCAACTTTCAGAAGGTATTCAGAAATAATTAATAAGTCATAATAAAAAAGTAGTTTTAAGATTATTTTTGTTACCATAGTTAGAAAAACAAAAAAACATTAAACAAATTCGAACATGTGACAATAAGCTTTGAAAACTTCACTGAGTCATAATTGTTTTCTAACTAATCTGTTAATGACATACACCATAACTTCTAATTATAGGTATTTTAGAAGAATTTGAGCGGGGAATTTAGATAGGTGTGTATAGACTTTTTCTATAAAATATAAGATTTATAAATATGTTAGTTTTCATTAACAGATAATTTTTCTCTTGTCAGTAAAGGGTTGTGGAGATGCTGAATTCCAATAAAATCATGAACTGATTTAAATTAGACTATCATTGAAAAGTTGGAAGTCATCGACGACCGTTTCGTCCTAGTATTTCACTCCTCAGAAGTGAGGATTCATGACCCTGAAACCGAGAGTAGGGCCTGTGGCATTCGGTCTTGCGTGCGAATGTTTCAATTGACTGAAGTTACACTTGTACATCATTGGATCTCAGAGTCTGATACTAGGACAAAACGGCTGTCCGTCACTCCCAGGTTTTGAATGGTTGACTAACTTAGATCAATTTGAGCTATTTAAAAGGAATCTCGCATTATACATTTGACGCACGGCATCCAGTATTTCAATTCGATTCCTAACAAGCTGAAGTAAGAAGTTTGATTAATATGCAAGAAAACAGAAAGGCCAAGAGAGAGTCTAAAACAAAGCTGTGTTATTACGAGTCTCTCAACAGTTTAAACCAATACAGTGTAACGATAGATTACCAATTTGACAAATGACAAAGTAAAAATGACACAGACAATAGCAGAGAACGAAAAAATATTCAGAGGAAAAAATGAACAGAGGGAATATAAAGGTGAAATAATAAGATTCTCAAGATTTACAGAAAGATGAAATGTATATATCCTCTATCATTAAAACAAATTTTGAAATGCATTACCTCAGCTTTCTGAGAATTAATGAATACTTACTAGCAGACATAATGACATTATACTACCTAAATGATTTGAACAAATTAGATGAAACGATTTTTAATGTGTTAAGCCGTTCGAAAATATCTTTCATCAAACTGTTTCGCGCCTTATCTTTTTCGTTTCAGTTGACTTGTAGAAATAATTTGGAGTTATAAAAGGTGGCTACGACGGCAGTAGTAAGCGTTCAATTAATAGACTCATCACAAACCAGGCTGCTCAGTGATTGAAAATCAAGCAGTTTAACTACCCTATTGCACCGTTTTATAACCACTAACTTTAGTTAACCTTAGTTATTAGTCAACCTACTCTTAAATGAGCTAATATTGAGCGTTTAGGTAGGTAGCAATTAGACATATGTAATTTTACAATCGAATGATCACCGAGTAGTGAGCAATGTCATAAATCCCAAGTGCCTCCTGATGCTGACCGAATTTGATCGACCATGTTGTAATGTGACCGCTAGTCTAAATAACTCGATACCACGTGCACTGTTTAGCGATGTAAAGCAATGGCTAACGTTAGTAGACGAGATACCTTGAACCGATATTTCGCAATATTTGGTACTCGTCAAAAAGGTGTGCTTGTAATCCTGAGGTGACTGATGGTCTCTGACGGCCAATCAATTGCAAATACTCCTCAGTCCTACTGGAGGTTAGTCGTAGCCCTGGTAGCTCAGTGGCAATCTTGTGTGAGACTGAGGTGTTTTCTTTACAATTGACTGAAACGAGATAGAATCCGCTTGGGAACATCATTTCCATCAAAATCACAGATAGATCATGCTGATAAGTGTGAAACAGCATGAAATCTAGGTCCAGGGGATCCTGACGACTAACCCCAAACACCACATTACAAACTGACATATTACATGTCACAAACAAATCAAGTTATGAAGATTCACAATCTTATTAACTCATTTGCCACTTTTATGTAATATCTTCGATGACAAACACCAATATTTCTCAAAATGCTTAGATTAGAAACAGTTTCAGTTATTCAGATAACTGACAAAAAAAAGGGATAAAACTGAAGTTTAGTGTTATTTTTTAAAGCCAGTGGTGTTAAATTTCGAAATTTAATGACCAATAGGTATCACACTATTTTATTCATTTGTAAATATTTACAACCTGGAATAATAAAAATTAAATCAGGCTAATAATACCATAAATTTCAGACACTTTTTCATAACTTTTAATAGTTATTCACTTAAATTATTATTAGAATTTAGTATAATATAGTTTTAATTAAGTGATTATTATTGGACATTTAATTGGTGATCTAAACAATCAATCCAAATGTATACACACTATTGATGAGTTTAATCATAAAATGAACGAAACCACTACCGAACGTCTACATCCCCACTTTGATTTGTTTAGTTAACAATACCAGTTGGAGTCAACAGGTTTCCTTTCAATTAATCGTTATCATTAAGTAACATATACTACTGAAATACGATAGAAACACATAATTTAACTTGTCTATGCACAATATTCAATATATTTCACAATTAAACCATTAAGACTATAATTTGTATTAATACATGTTTATATTAACACTTGCTATAAAAACGATAGTTAAATCGTTAAGTTTAAACATTAAATCCTTCAAAATATTGAAAAACAAATGACGTGAACAATTATTTATACACGTTGGTGGACTTTTAAATGATTAGATGACTGCTTTAATAAATAACGCCACCAATATTTAAATCATATTTAACATGTAATAAGTATTATGTGATAAGCAAGTCCATCAGATAGATAACTATTTGGAACATTAGTACTACTACTAGAAATAGTAGTAGTATGATAGCTGCAATATACTGATATATGGTCTAGGATAGATAATTGAATGGAAAGATGGGAAATATGTCAAGCTAAATTGTTGAAGTGTATGTGGTTTGAATCATTATTATTATTATTATTATTATTATTATTATTATTATTATTATTATTATTATTATTATTATTATTATTATTATTATTATTATTAATCCCTGATATGTAACTACAATAATTCATTGAATCAAGTATAATTTAGTCTCTTCAATAATCGGTTTCTCCTAACTACCACAACTCATTTATAGTTTCCTATGCAACAGAATGAAAAAAGTGAAATAAAATAAATGTGGAAAACTTAATTAAATATTAATGATTAGAGGTAAACAATTAAATCATTCAGTTTAGAGGAAACATCACTATCAAGGTTAATAACAATAACATATTATTCTCATCAATTCACTAACCTAGGCATTTGTGGACCACAAAGTGTATAAACATAATTGTAGAACATATTTTTATGTGAATAAGGATTTTTATGACCAGCTTGTTTGACAATACGTGGGAAATGACGTATCTAATAGATAAGTAGAATAAAAAGAAATATATTTGATCATATACTTATACAGAAAATAAACTACAAATGTTTTCAAGAAAAACCAGTAATATTCAAAAAGGCAAAAAGATCGGAGATTCAGTAAAAGTGCGCTTTACGTATTGACTTTCAATGATACATGAAAAAACCTTGAACAAGTAAAAAATGAAATAATTTCTATCCGATCAAAATGTAAGTGTTGTATAAGTGAAGAATTTATCATAACAATAAAAAATCTACACAAATACGTTAGGATCAGAAGGTCAATAAGTTAGTGTTGATATGCTGACGATTTAATCTGATCTATCTTCATTGACAAAAGGACAAACTGAATAGATGTTTGGAAGTTGGCTGCTTACAAGTTGATTAAATTTGAGATAGTGTATAACGGTGGAATTAAAGATGGTAGTTCTGTCAGCTGGAAATACTTGGCCAACAAGTAATCTATTATTTAACAAAATGTATACTGGGCTGTAATTTCAATGTGAATAGAAACAGTGAGATACAGATTTATTTGATAAGTTTAAACAAGGATGAAACGGGCACCTTGTGTTTCATTATTAGTTATTATATAAAAGAGAATATATATTTGTAAAAATAAATAACTACACACGTAAATAAGGTGGTTGGTAGTAGTCAGTAAGAAACGTTACTTAGTCTAGATTTCTTGCGCTTCAGGACTAATTATTAACGCGTATCTGTAATCCTGAGGGAACTGATGCTACCTACGTGGTTCGAATTTGCATCAATTACCTTCCGATGGACTAGTATGAAAGATTAAACAAACATGACAATGGTCACTATTCAGTGATCAAATATTTATAGATTCACATATATTATTGACAGTGCATTTGGTTTTGTTTTCATCATATGTGATAACATTTTGTCGATAATCGATCAATCTTTATATTCATTTATCGCACTACGATTGGATAGCCATATCACCAGCAGTTCATCAGTTAATTATTGTTGCTTAGAATTATACCAATCGATATGTTCATTAAGATTTAGACTTTCTTAAACTTTATATTAATCTATCAGGTCTATTCAACAACATTTGTTTTTAAGCATCATTTATTTGTGAATGTTTAATACCTTTCAACTGTTGATATTAACATCAATATTTTTGCTATATGCCCATTGTGAGCTGACTGTCTCAATATGCCCATCAACTCAAAATAATTTCAGTAAAAATGAACAGAATTCGTCCCAGTTGTCCAGGCCAGAGGTTATCTGAACTCAACAGTACAGTGGATCGAGAGTTGATAGGTTTGAAGTGAATGGTACTGGGTTCAAGTGGTAATGTGAACAACAATGGAATAATGAAGACATATCCAGTTGACAAGTCACAAATAGGACGGGACGTGTATCATGGATTTATTGTAAGCTACTCTCCATTTTTACTTCAAAATTTCTAAGCATATTTAGAAACTTTTATGCGATTAATATGGCAGGCAAAATCACTCAGAAAAATATACTATGACTAATCTATTCGGTGTTGCCTATAGAAAAAATTACCATACATTGAATCTATTTATTATAACGATAACAAGACGAGGATTCTCCGAAAAGAATATTTATGAAAATGTAACATAGACAACTATATATATATGCGCATCAAACCAAATCATTCATGAGTATGCATAATAGTATCAAACAATCCCACAAAAAGAGGTTAATATGTGATAAGCAATTTATTGACCAGATCAATAAATGCTGGTTTTATTTATCTAACTAAAATTGAAGTAATTCAAGCATATTAAAGATCGATTGTCATGAAACGGAAGTCTATAAGAACAAGAGGGTGAGTGATGATAGAGAATGACATTCTTGGTTTCGTTCAGAACTGGTAGAAAAATTGTGATCAAGGAAATTCAGTGTGAGAAACGAAATCAAGTTGTCGGATAAGACTTTTGGATACTCGGGATCAAAGGAAAGACAAAGTGAATGCATCTGTGTTATTGAGACTGATTCTGAGCCATATCATCTAACGCCTTCAACAAATGGTACAAGCAATCGATCGAACTTCGATCAGATATTCTGCACCTACTAACATGGCTTAAACCAACAGTCAATAGCTTCCCAAAGTGCATACATGTCTTGGTTCGGCTGCACAACTCCTGGGCTAGTTAACATTGCGGGTCGAGGTGAGGGGTGGTTGAGTATACGAAATACATGCCCCAACTATTTCAGCCGATAAAGATCCCAAATATCATAATCGATATACTATTTCTGTCAATTAACCTGAATCTAACTTCAACGTTACTCATTTAGTGGTCTCAACATACATGAACAGTACTTCGACACTTGTGTTAATAACTTAGTATAGTACTATTTTTATACATTCGGTTTTGTCCAACAACATCTAGTTAGTCTAGTGCGACCGCGATGATACAAAAAAATAAGCACTTTCAACCGATTGCCAAACGATAAATGTTCGGTTAAAGAAGACTACAATTTACACACTGTTTAGATTGAAATTTAAAGATGAGTTTATGGGAAAAGTCATCCAAGCATGATTTAGTCGACACTTTTTACATCAGCCTTCATAAACCATGTAAAGGATGCAAATAAATATGATTCAAGACTACCCTTTTTATTACTCAACCTTACTGTCTCGTCGTCAGAAAAAATACTCCCATTCTTGTTTATACACAACTACTTGGTAAGTGATTACACGTTTTTAATAGTTATACACAAGTTACCCATCTATCCATATCATGGACAGAACTACGTAGTCTAGGAAATACCCCACCATAAATTAACAAAGTTTTTTAAAATGTTTTTGAGGAAGCAATAACTATGGAGCCAGTTTAATTTAGACTGCCGGAAATAAACTTAAGCATCCACAAAGCAGCAACATCTGTGGCTGCTACAGGAGAGAATTTGAAAACGGCCAAACACGGTATAAAATGCAATGTAATACGGAAATTTAGGTAGCCGTATTTCAATGCACTTGTAACACTATACATCACATTTGTTCCTCAAAACGTGGAGTGCTGTACATAAGGGACCAACGTTTGGCTTTATAAAGATGTTAGACTAACAAGAAAGATTTAGAAAGTTGCAACTTAAGTGACTCCATTTAACCATAAAATTATCGTGGACTTTTAGTCCAATTGAGTTAATCATACCTCTTATTATACAGAAAGATAAAATCTGATATCATTTTATCAGTAAGATTACTTGATGATTGATTAAACTTGAGATGTGTTCTTTTTTACTTTCAAAGCGCCAAGTCTATTCCGACACATAAATTACAAGTCCTCAACTTTAAAGCCCGTTTTATTTGCCAACTTTGATACTAAGTAGCATACATCAGGAACCAAGCATATATAAATCAATTGGTTTGCACTAGATCGTTCAAAAGATAATGGACATAAGTCAAGAACTTAGTACGGCTCCAACTCAACATGCGGTAACAGTTCCTTCCATAGGTGATCATATCAATATCCATAAATGGTTAACTTTTAAAGTTCACTAATCAGATCCAATCTTAATCTTAAATCCATTTTTTTAAGTTTAACAGGAATTAATGCTCAAAAATCTACTAAACATAATTTCTGATTACGAAATCTGCATGTTCGAGATCAATGAAGTGATTATCATTATTAGTACTATATATATATATATATAACTTGTAGAGACTTGGTAGCTGAATTTTAGGAGCCTGAGCAACCGACTCGTCTCTGTATGACTAGGTATTATTTGTTCGCCTACAAAACATATATGTTTAGAGAAATTATATCATGAATGATGTTGTAACCTTGGAACTAGGCGCGACATATATTGAAAATCAAGCACGTTTAACTAATCATTTAGGTATCTTTCGATAATCCAATGAGAAGACGTAGTTTATCAGAATTATGTGATATATTTGCGCAATACATTTCGAACAATCTGATCACACATATACTTGTTAAGAACATTTATATATGAAAAATTAAAAGGTCAACTAGACAGGTTAAGGGTAAGTCATAACAAAGGAAAAATATTAAAGTACACAAAAACAAATGTGATTACCACTCTGGATAGTAAATCAGTACTACCAGGGTAGGTTAAGTGTAAGCACAAAGTGTTTTTGAACACATAAAGGGGGTTTCAATTTTCGTATAGCCAAGGCTTCAATAAACCTTAGTATACGTCCTTGAAGGCTTTTGTACAACACAACAAATGCTGATTTGATATCAACCTTATGACCCGTCTCAATCAAACGTCTCGCAATGGATGGTGATGCCTGTCTATCCTGTGATCTTATTTCACCATTGGAATTCATCTGATTCTGCAACCATTTTGGTATATGTTCACCCACTCTTAATTGCAAATCAGATGGAACAAAACGACTAGAATTCACAATATGTTCTCGTCTTGAACTATTGATTGACTTAAAGTTCATCTTTCGAAAGTCACGCGAAATAATATATAGAAAGCCCACGCTTTGTGTAGCCTAAATAACCTACTACAAAAGAGCAAGTAAATTTATAAATACAGATTGAGCCACATCACTGTATATTTATATGTTACCATATAAATCTGATACTGATTTAACTATAACCTAATTTTCCTTCGATAAAATCAGAATGTTAAATACTTTTGTATAGAGTTTCTTACTTACTTACTTACTTACGCCTGTTACTCCTAATGGAGCATAGGCCGCCGACCAGCATTCTCCAACCCATTCTGTCCTGGGCCTCCTTTTCTAATTCCATCCAATTCTTGTTCATCTTTTTCATGTCTATTTCCATTTCTCGGCGTAATGTGTTTTTTGGTCTTCCTCTTTTCCTTTGGCCTTGAGGATTCCATGTGAGGGCTTGTCTTGTGACGCAGTTGGGTGCTTTCCTCAATGTGTGTCCTATCCACTTCCAGCGCTTCTTCCTAATTTCTTCCTCCACTGGGATCTGGTTTGTTCTTTCCCGCAGTTGGTTGTTGCTAATAGTGTCCGGCCAACGGATCCGAAGTATTTTGCGTAGACAACAGTTAATAAACACCTGTATCTTCTGGATGATGGCTTTCGTAGTTTTCCAGGTTTCCGCCCCATACAGCAGAACTGTCTTGACATTTGTATTGAAAATCATGAACATGTGGTTGGTTGACAGTTGCTTTGAGTTCCAGATGTTCCTCAGTTGTAAATATGCTGCTCTTGCTTTGCCGATCCGCGCCTTCAAATCTGCATCAAATCCACCCTGTTCATCAATGATGCTGCCCAAATATGTAAAGGTATAGAGTTTCTATCTTGCTTTTTTTTACAAATCAACGATCAATATGTTTAAAGTGAGAAGAGTGTAAGAATATCAACTAGATTTGTTATTTCACTGCTTATCATCATATTGATTTGTCAACTAACATTTTTCTTTTCTTTTCTTTAACCTTTAAAATAATAAACTCAGAATGAAGCATAAGGTCCACATGATAATATTTAATATTATTCTGTGACATTCAATTGATAAGCGAAACAATAAGCTTTGATAAGAGTTTAAAACTTGATGTCACCTACTCCACGGATTAAAACAAACATATTGAGAGTAAACTTTGCATAGATTGTGAAGAAAAGAATGAACACATTAATGATGCTAACCACTGATAAAAGTTTTTAAAAATATTTGCAAACAATAAAAACTCATTTATTAAAAAGAATAATATGAAATAACGACTCGCTAATGATTACAGCTATGAGAATAAAAATGTAGTTATGATAACCCAATGTGCTAACATAACACTATTAGGTAAAGATGGTGATAATTAAAATAACCCATAGTGTCGTTGAATAAGAAACAGAAAATTCAGCCAAGAAAATTTTGTTTTCGACGAAATCATTTACTTAAGCTGTACATTCGTATATATAATTAGTTATATGGAAAATATATGTCTATAGGAGGATACGAAAGATTGAATCGAGAATAAATAACAAATGAGGTTACGTTCTAATCAAGGGGTAAGGAAGAAAATAGATTATGGGTCAGATAATGGTCCAATTGACAGATATGATGAAAAGCGACAAACACAAAGGTTATAATAATAGACTGAATAATAATCAAGAAAACTTGTATAAGATAATCATAATCACCAAATAGAGTTAAAAATTGCAAAAAAACTTTAAAAATTGAAAAAATCAATAATAATCAAATTAAAGTGCAGAAAAACATGCAAAAAAACAACCAGAAACATATCCATTAAGGGAATTAGGGACAAGGAAGGATGAGAGGTTGGACGAGTCGTTTCTGCAAGCAAAGTTCAGGCTTGAGTTCGTGAATTGCCAATGCCTCAGTAGTGCATAGAATATTGATTCGACACCCCTTCGATCCAATTCCTTTGACTCGATGATCACTTCAAAAGAAGAATACTTGGGAGCGGTGTCCAAAATTTATTAAATGCTCGTGTATAGAACTAGTAATTGTTGTACATTCTCCTTTTACAAGCCAAGCCGGATAGTGTTCTGAGATGCGTTTGGAAAGTGATCGCTTTGCACGGCCTATATAACGAGCCCCACATGAGCACGTAAATTTATAAATAAACACAGATGTGGCCCAAAGCGAAAGTTTATCTTTAACACATCCAGGAATGATCGGACGGCTTGAGAAAACAATTCGGAGCTTGATTGTGTAGAACGTTTTATTCAACGATTTTGAAATTTGTTTATGTAAGATTTCAGCAGCCGTGTCTTCTTTAAATCCCACATCCATGAACAGGGTTTTGTTCTGTACTGTCGATACTTCCTCATGATGAATTCTAAGTGTTACTATCGACGAATCTAGGTGGATAACCGTTTCTGATGAGAGTTTGTCGAAGTTAAGATAGTTCCTCATCTATTGTGTCAGTGGAACAGATTCGCTTGATCGTAGAGGATAAAGAGTGAAATAAATTCCTCTTTCTACTCAATAGGACCCACCTATGGAAATTAGTGTACTGCTGAATTCTCTTTTTCTTAAAGATGGTGAATAGATTGATGATGGAACGTTCATATCCATTGACTGAGATAGCTGTATAATGTTTTAAATATGTTGAACTACAAAGTATGGAAACACGTAATGTTTGTTGGTGTGTAGGAGTAGGTTGAAAGAAAGATACTAATGACCAAACCAAAATGTCGTATCAGTCCATGAAGTTACTGACAGTCGAACTGAGTAATGTTAGTATATATAGATTACCAGGTAGAAGTCCGCACGATTACTGTATCAAAAGGCTGGCGGATATTGGATGACATGGCTCAGAATCAATCTCATTGGTAACTGGTGGTTTTCTACGTCCTACCGTCTGAGTTCGATTCCGTGTCTCAGTGAGCTGTTTATTGATTAATTGAAATAACAGAACAACTGTCCATATAGATACCTTATCATATCGTCAGTTGATAATGAAAACAAACTTTAGCTTCAAATTAGTAATCATATACACGTCAGTATAACCAATTGTCGGACGTGATAAGAACTGATTACCTAGATCAAAATAGTTTTTTTGGATATATAATGCAATGAACGAATTAAATTTGTAAAAAATCAACTAGCTGGTAATCAAAACGTGAGAATAGTGCATGAACTCATTAGTCTGAGTTACACTGGTAGGTTAATACTACCTTGTCGAAATACACACAAGTTTCAATTACAGGTTAGATACATTGAGTGACGTGACTCAGAATAGGTCGTAATTGAGCATATGTTTCCATTATTTGTCTACCACTAGATCCTATGTTTTAATATTTCATTATTGTTATTCTGCAAGCCAACTCTTTCTTCTTAAATTATACTTTTCATGACTAATAGTTTTTAATATAACTGATACTTTTACTACTACTACTACTTCGATATTCAACTTGATAAATTCACCAATTCGTATTAACGTAGTATGAGAACTTGAGCTGATATACATTTATGTTAAGTTCTAAGGTGTTTATAACTTACTGACTGCATGACTGACACAGCTTAAACATCTTGTACAAAAAATCATAAACCCCAGTTGACTCAGTGAAATAATTTTAAGGTTTTGTATCAAGATCTTCTAAAGTAGTAAAAACATTGAGTTCTTATTCACTCTATTCGTTTTACAGCATAGTTATCTCTTTCTCCCTTTCTCTAATTAAATCAGTATAATATACAATTCAAAAATCGAAAGACTAGACAGATGATATGAATTAGAAGTCAATAATCAATTTAGATATATAAATGTCTCGAGAATTGAACGATTACCATCATCATACATCCAATCCACAGTTAGTTATTCCAAGTCAACAACATATTATCTTGAAACTAACAAAAATACACTCATAAAATATATAGAACGTTTTAGTAATATAAAAATCAACTTACATCTTCATGAGTTGAAAATCCTCGACATATTAATGATGTATGATAACCTGATAAACCGAATACTGTCCACATTGCAGAGAAAGTGATCAATATATCAATTATTGTGTATGATGAAAATCGACAATAGCAAATTAATTATTGTTTTTAATACAGAAAGAATAAAATCCATTCCATTGATTCATTCAATCCATTAGTAATTATAATGATGATGACGATGATGATAAAGATAAGATGATTTGATTAAGGTATTTTATAGCTAATCAACCAATATTTATAAAGGAAACTGGGAAAAGATTTAGTGAATGTTGATAAATCAATCTGTGAAAAATATTCATTACTGATTCGAAGTCAATTTTTTATCAGTAAATTAACTGGGATTTAAAGAGGATTAATAAGAGACGAAAAACTATTCTGTTTTACTGATTGAAATCATGATTCAATTGAAGCTAGATCACCATGGAAAACCTGGAAGTACTGGACGGCCGTTTCATCCTAGTATGAGACGCCTCAGCAGTGTGCATACACGATTCTGCACCCCGAGAGACTCGAACCTATCAGTCTCGCGCCAGGCGCTTAACCAACTAGACCACTGAGTCGGCATCCAACGGTGTTAATGTCTAACTTCAACCAATCCACGAAGTTGCGCGACCGTACACCATTGTCTTCAGCTCACTGTTGATCTAGCTTCAATTGACGTATGATTCCAATCAGTGAAATTTTTAAAATCTCCACAAAACCCATTCTGATATTCTGTTTTAATCTGATTTAGAGAAGTTTAAAATAAATTTAAAATGTGTTTCAATGAGGCTGATTACTGGTTTAAATTTATAATTGATAAGGTAATCGTTGTGTGAAGCAAATATATGGACTTACCGTTTGTTGTACGTTGAATACTGAAACATTTTTTAAAAAAAACTGACTACATCTCGGATTAATTGAGATTCGCATCAATTTCTTAAACTTGTTTAGGGCAACGACTGATTTGCACTCAAACCGTGAAAGGATAACTTTTATTGGATTTTCCGAAAAAAACTATGTCAGAAGTGGTGTTGAAGACCTGGTAGCATGGTTGTAAAGATCTACGAACAGATACTTGAGGTCAATCATACAAACCATTTCTGTGAGTAGCTCGAAACGTATCAACTCTACACCTTAAACGATTTATTGGCGGCGACAGAAATCTATGGGACAGTTATTCGGGTTATTATTTTCTAATCCTTACCTTCTGCAATGAGAAGACAGCATTGTAGCTGACGTTAGATGTTGGAGGGAAACAACATACACTCACACCCGTACACAATCGAGAGCATAACCTTTCCCACACACATTAAGTTAACACTTTCAGTCATACTGTTCTCTAATCAACTTGTCTTGCATGGTAGAACCTAACGGAACAAATGTTACAATTAATACAGCTCGACTGGGTCATCTTAATATGTGAGTACGATCACCATATCAAGGTCGTGCATTAATTTACTGCCTATTCTAATATGAATTCTATATATTTTGGCGGATAAAATAGAACATGGCATCGATCCATGAAATCACTGAAAATTGAACACAGCAATGTTAGCAGGTACAGACCAATGGTTAGAGACGTTGAATGACGTAGCTCAAAACTGTTTGCAATGGCTCAGGCGCATTCATTCTTTGTGTTCCCCCGAATTCTGAGATTCTCAAATCCTCACAACTTTCTTCTCGTTTCACTAATTTATATTTTCTTTTCGAGCTGTATCTTCGATGCCTAGTTTTTCTTATTGCCACTGATACTGTTACTGCCTCTACTATTCTGAGATTCGAACCGACAATATTACCTCTGTGCTAATGCCGTATGGCAACTTGAACTGGTTCTACAATGTAGCTGTTTGACTTATATTTTGGCTATTTCAAAGGGTATATAGTTGAGGCAATTTATTACCATTCTATATTATAATGTATACTCCATTTGTTGAGGACAGGTTTACGTACTTTGACCTACATCGTTTACGTGTGTGTGTGAAGGGTATTGTTCCAGGTTCACTGCCTAAATGAAAATAGCTCAAACTAGGTTTGAACCTGTGAATTACCGGTTGAAATCTGAGTACTTAATTCAATAATTTATCATTTTAATTTCTTCAAATCGACTAATTATTGATTTTAATGTGTTTTTTGTAAATACATTATTTATTCAGTAATGATAACCGTTTAGCACTCATATGTAAATCATTCCAATGAAATAAACTGTCGCAAGATCCCACAACAGGCTATGAATTCAGAAACCTGTAATAATATGGTGTTTAGAGAAAGACAATTATATCGAAAAACCGCTTAAATGTCACGTAACTTGACCGAACTTTGTTATGCCTGATTGACGAAATCTCAGTTGGTGTTCGACGGATGTCAAACTCTTGAATTTGAATTTATTTAAAAGTCAAGCTTATAAACTACTAATGAAGAGTTTAATATTATGATAAAATGGCTACTTAAAGATGTTAGCATCTATAACTATTGCTCAAATTATGAGAATATGCAATGGAAACTCCTCCAATTACTAATGATTTGAACTCATTGGCTTAATGGATAAGGTATTGATGTTTGATGTGTTTAGGTAAAGGATTCGCGAATCACAATGTAAGTATCAACACGAAAATGGAATTACACTCGACTAACAAGTTCGAAACAAGATGAAATATATTCCAAGAATATAAACTGATTTTAAATAACACTTTTTTCTGAATCTATTGCTTTGAAAAATGTTTACAATATAACTAGCTAGTCAATCATACACAAAAAAATAAAACACGATTATAAGCAAAGATGGATATTGGCTAGCAGTGGAATCCAGGACGCGCGTTTCGTCCCGTTTGGGACTCGTCAGCTGGATGTACCTGCATCTCAGAGTTGATGTTCACTCTGGGACTCGAACTCAGTACCGTTCGCTTCAAACTCCATCGCGTTATCCACTTAGCTACTGAGTCCTGATAGCCACTTGCTTGTGCAATGGGGGTGAAGTGAACATCAACTCTGAGATGCAGGTACATCCAGCTGACGAGTCCCAAACAGAACGAAACGCGCGTCCTGGATTCCACTGCTAGCCACTATCCATCTTTGCTTATAATGCTTGTAAATTAAAGCAATATCGAGGCATACGCATAGTATGCACATATGCCAATAAGAGACTGATCAATTTCAGTCCTAAAACATCAATGGGAAGATTTAAGTAAAAACAATATCAAGTGAATTAAAACACGATTAGTCCATTTTTAAAAAAAACACACGAAGAAAATAGTTATAACATCAACACTTTACTATCAAAAATCACATGAAAAGGATATGAAGCGGGAGAAATCTTGATAGCCATTATAATATCTTCATACTTTTCGTATACTATTCATAATAATAATAATATTCATCCGTATATTGACGACAATCATCATTAACCACCATCATCATTATTGTTAGATTTACGTAAATAATTCAGTAGATAAAATGAAGAAATTTATTTTTGGAAAGAAAATAACAATCATAATATTAGACTAAATAATATACAAATAAAAACCAATAATTGACAGTTTAACGATAATAATAATGTGAATATTGAATGAAAAATTCAATTGATTAGCACTAATAATAAGTTCATTAAGTTTATTAGCGTATTAGTGTAACTCATAGTCTACAATTGTTTAGAAATATTACGTCACTAACAATTCGATGTAACGATTAGGTATTAACTACTAACCCAGTCAGTTTATTGCGTATCATATATTAACTATTAGTTTAATAGATGAAATTTGTTCACAACGCATGAAATACTTCTACGGATCAGTAACTAAGTAATGTTTATTGTTTTGTTTGTCTAGACCCTTAGTATTGGTTGAATTCTATCGAACAATTTGTAATTTATCCAAATAACTTGGCACTGTTTTAATGTTAGATAGTTGGAAGTAATGAACAAGAAATCCTGAACCTAGTGTTTCTTGCTGTTTTACATTTGTTATTAAAGTGTACTTGTAATTTTGCGGGAATTGGTATCTATTGTAGAACTCGAACAGGTGATATTTAACTTTACAGTTTGAGATGTTACCAGTTAGTCAATTTATGATCATTGACAAAAAAATAGGCAGTACTTCTGTGAGTTCAGTTATCCGCTTTGAAATGAAGTGAACTATGAATCTATTGACATACTTGAATGTAGTTAATAATTGTTGAATTAAAGTTGAATCGAAAATGGGAAACTCCCCAATTGTAATGAACATACAATTAAAAACAATGATTGCATAACGTCTTATTGAGAATCAATCCTAATACCGGAGAGGGCAGATACATGCACAATTTAACTTAACTTTAAATCTTTATACATACATACTATTCTTTTGAAATATTGTAACACTTATCCATCTATACTGGTGGTAATAAGGGCAAAACTATAATTTGTGGACAACAATTGGGAGATGCTTAAGTGATATTGAGAATGTCAACCTACTTACTAGGGTTAAACTAGGCTTATAAATTATTGGGAGAAATCAGGATTAAGATTTACAGTTGGACATTAGAGTGAAAAAGTAAAGTTAAAGTTTTAATCACGAACTGACAACAGTTATAATGTTAAAATGCTATTTAGCCATATTGATGCATGAATTTCACGCCAGAATCAAATACTTGCTATCTTAAACCAGATCGGTTCGTCTATGAATTATATTCCTGCCATGATAAATGAAATTCAGTTTAACGGACAATTTTGTGACATTTTTATACATTTAAAAATAATAATTCATTACAACCTAAGCCATCAACTGCAAACAATTAATGGTTATGTTGAAACTTAATAAATCAGTGGATAACAAGTTGATGTTTGCAACAATAGATATCGAGTTTGTATCTCAATATGTAAATCAACACTGGGGTTATTATCAGAATTGGAATTTGTGGAGACTTGAGTAATTTTCATGGTTGAATTCATAAGTCAATTTAAGCTAGACCATTATTGAAAACCTGGAAGCACTGTTTAACGGCCGTTTCGTTCTAGTATGAGACTTGTCAGCATTGCGCATTCACAATCCCGCATATGGAACTCGAACCCAGGACCTTCGGTT